ACAATGAATTTATTATAATTATAAACACCGTTTGTATTGTTCGAGAAAATACAATGTGTTTCGATTCGACGAAATGTCTGTCTACTGATGCTACAATCCCTGGCGAAAAAGTATTCCAACGGTTTTTGAAACGTAATAACTTTGTTAAAAGCGGACCGGACGACTCGAATTAAATGTCAAAGGGACTAGTTTACTGTACAGTGATTAAAATTACGGTCTTCTAATTTTGCTACTACAGTGAATTCTCCCGGTTTTTCCTTCAGCTTGTAAAAAAGAAAATGAACAATTTGGGAAGAGGTGATTTTAATGTATATTAAAATATGGTTATAATAAAATATATAAATATGTATATAAATTATAATAAAATAATCTGGGACGATAATTTAAAGAACACGTTTTGTAGATCTCGGTTACTTGTTTCTCGGTTCACTCACTTACATCGTAATAAAAGTAGCGACACGTCTAAATAAATTTAGTCCCGTAATTTTTATAAAGCATCAGACATATTTAGCGCACGGTAGATTTAGTGTTGAAATAAAGTATTTGCACCATTGGTACGGATGGTGCAACCGGATATTAGACAACGGATTTCTCGTAGTTACAAAACTAGTAAATCTATTATGCGAAGCAAGGAAATGTTTTACACTTTAATTGAAATGTCAGTCTACAAAGAATACTGCCTTGCCTCTATTTTGATGACTATATTACCATTCTGGAACTTTGTTAAAATAGAGCACTTGCAGAATTTCGTACGCTATAGGGGAAAATAACTAAAATTATCCTACAAAACAAAATGATGTTTTGAGTTCTGATAAAAGTGTGAAACCGCAAGGAAAACGCTACACGAACGTGCAGAGCACGTTGATAATTAAAATCAGCTTCCTTTCGATCGTCAATTGTCGTTCCCGCCGGTGATAAATGTATCTCTAGGCCGCCGATAAAAAATTCGGGGACCGTGTTAACACCGGCGAGAAAGCTGCCGATTTTCACCTAGGCTTATCTTGATCGTCGCGTCGTCCCGAGATTCTAGGAGACGCGGGATAGCTTTCTCGCGGAGCTATAAACGCTTAGAATCCCATTAAGCATTCACGGAGTCGCTTGCGCCATTTTGTCCCGTGGGGAGAGATATTGTTGTCACGTTTCTTCAAATAGTCGAGTCTATAACCAGAATTCTCTATCAGCCTCGACAACATCGACTGTTACGACCAGATTGCGGATCTTTATGAAAAATAAAAATTTTCCAAGTTGATTGCAAGAAACAGAAATATGAAATAAGAATGAACTCTGTTTCTTCAAATAATTCAGATAAATTGAAAACAGTGTAACATTATCAAACTATTCTTATGTCTTCACAATTTTATATTACGGCTACTCATTTTTGCCATAAATAAATAATATCCGCTGTCTAGTTATGACACTTTTACAAGTGTTTCCTCGGAGAAATAACGAGATTGAAAATTGATGTGTGCGCGTCAATAGATATATTTATTTTATCGTCTCTCTCTCTCTCTCTCTCTCTCTCTCTCTCTCTCTCTCTCTCTTTCTCGTGGAAAGATTTTTATGAGTTTAATAATTGTAAAATGAAACACATAATATACTTGTAAAATAAAACATATGAGACTCGGTTATGGAAAATTAGACTGCTAATGATAGGTTTATTGTTAAACAGGTTCTTTGCTTACAAAGAGAAAAAAATGTCGTTTCAACTATAAAGTGAAACGCGACTTGAAAAATGCAAACCAGACTTCAAATTTACACAAAATTACAAACCCTTGGGTCAGTACCATCACCCTCTTATAGTTTGTTAAATAAAAATACAGAAAAAATTACACAGTTCCGACAATATTAACCTTTAACTAATATTGAGGGTCTGTTGAGTCTGCTACTAATTATTTGCTCATTCTGATTCATAATTCTTATTTATAATTGCAAGAAGAATTGCGAAAAGAGAAACATTTTTATTACTTGCCTCTGCTGAATCAAACTTGGATCTCTCTTCGTCATTTATATGCAAAGTAAGAGCCCTCCACGGGTATAAAAGTTATTACATAATTTGTCCATTATCTACATTATTTTTGCGAACGAAGTACACGCGATTGTTACGATCGATTAACAATTACATTTTCAATAACCAAATGAAGGTCGATTTTTCACCGAGCAAAAAGAAATTGTTTTCCATATTTACGCCGTTTTGTGAAAAATCAATATTTTGCAATAACCGTGCGCGCTTCTCTAGCAAAACTAATGTACATAATGACAAAATTGTTTTGTTTGCCTCAGATGCAGATGCGCGTCGCCAACCTTTCCGCTCGTGAAGGGCCTCGAGAAAAAGTCGTCCCCTTTCAACCGGCCACTGGGCCGCCATTTTGTACCTTTTTGAGAAATAAAAACCCGACTTTAGTACCCGAAGATACGTACAATAAACCTCCCGAACCTCGTTCTTACTGCTTTAAAAGTATTTTCGAGAAAATAGTTACAAGTATTGTCGACCGCCGAAGGGAACATGCCCCCTTGAAGAACGCAGCCGGGTCTCGAAACGAGAAAGAAACGCCGCTACGTGAAAATCGCGGTAAACCGAAGAAAATTGTGAAGCATTAGGGGGCAAAAGGACCCGAAGAAGATAAATCCCTAGGGAGGGGTAAGGGACGGTGGAAGAGGGTGCAGGATTAAAAAGAAGGGACATCGAGCAGAAGGAACGAGAGTCTCGAAATACGAGGGAAAGACGGAAGTGGAGAGAGAAGGACGGAACGACGGGAGAGAGAGAGATAGAAGGAAATGGAGAGGGGCATAAAATAGGAAAAAGAGAGAGAGAGAACGAGAGAGAGAGCGAGATGACAGTTAGAGAGAGAGTAACAGGAAAGAAAGAGAGAGAAAGGCAAAGAAAAGAAAGAGGGGGCCAGGAAAGAAAAGGGAGAGGAAAGCAGAGGGGAGAGAAAGAGGGCAGAGAGGAGGACAGAAAGAAGAGAGAGACAAAAAGGCAGGCAGAAAGGGAGAGATACGGGAGAAAAGAAAGAAAGAGGGAGCTACGGACGAAAAGAGAGAGATAGAGGGAGAGAGAGAGAGAGAGAAAGTGTCCGAAAGGGACAGAAAGTGAGAGCAGGACGGTTGAGAGAGGACGAGGCAGAAAAAGGAAGAGGGGTTCGACGGAGTGAGGACCGAGATGAATCGACGTGGAAGAGGGAGAGGGCGAGGGACCGACCGAGGGCCAAGCAGAAAACGAAGAATCCGAAGGAAGGACGTAGGAATCGTCTTGGGGGCCGTACCACCGCACGGGTATAGTATGGACCTCGACATTCCCGATCATTATTCCGCCGGCTTGCCACGGCACGGGGGGGAGGGCCGAGCCTGACCTTGGCGGGTAGGCATGACTGACCTTGTTGGTCCTACATCCGTGGAACACTGTGTCCCATTCATCATGCAAATGAGCCGGTAATGAATATCAAACGACGTTCTTACGACGGATATTTTCCCTGGACGGATACATGCCGGGAATACTCGGAATATCTCGCGGGCCCCTTCTTCGGGATGCATCGGAGACGAGACGCGGATTCGACGAACGAAGAAGAGAAATGGTCACTGGCCTCCTCGGCCGGCCAGGCTTCTGCGCGACCCGCGCTCCCAGATACGGAAACAGCCGCCTTTTTGCCTACGGGATTCGGCGACGTTTCGCGAACCCTTTCTATCTAGGCTACGGCTCGGCTAAATGCGGTTATTTAGATGCGGAATAGACCTTGTGACGGAGATTTTTCCATAAGCGTTTTGTCGAGGTTACTTTATAGAGTAGGTTAACGCAGGCTCGAACCTGTGTCAACGATTTGCTTCGGAGCGGCGCCTCTGAAGCGTCGAGATTTTTGCTCGACGACTTGACCATTTTCATATTTTTATCGCGAGGTAATTACCAGACCGCGGATTTTTATGCGGAATTAAAATTGTCTACCCCGATTGCAGCAGACTAAAGTAAAATGAAAGCTTGTTCTCGTTGTTAATGGGTTTAATAGGTTGAAAACAATGTGATGGCATCCTTAACAATATTTCTACCGAAGGTGACAAGAGACATTTTTTAATCATTTTTATCTCATACGATTTTTAGCATTTTTTCTAGTGTTTTTTTTTATAGCGATTTGTAGGGGTTGAACGGCATCTTTTAATAATTTTTAGTAACAATGATTTCCTATGTTCTATGTTTCCTGTGTAATTACTTCTCGATTTTTGCTGCATTCATCACTGTTCACATGAAAGTAAAAATGATTCTTTTCGCACACATATTGAAACATGATCGAGAACGTATTAAAAATTTGCGATAATCAGCCAAATACTTCTAAAGGTCAACATTGATCCTAAAGAAACAGGTCCGATCCGTAAAACCAGATCTTCGCATTCCGAAGGATCTAAATTGTGAAAAGCATCCTCTTCGGGTTCTAACTAGCAGTTTAAATTAGAAATCCAAAAACTTGAACTAGAAATAATAATATAGAGGAACCGATTAGTGTGTGGGTTGATCAATTGCTGTGTCTCTGGTCCGTCTCCAAGCATAATTCTGCGATTATAAGAAAAAGGCGCCGCAAGTCACAATTTCAAAAAATTAAAAATACTGCTTTAATTGAACTATAGCACAAAGACCGAAGAAAATAATGCAATTTGAAACTAGCACGAAGCATCAATGACCAGAACTCGAAGCGACAATATCTCAGAATTGAATTAACATTACGTTTATCGAATAAGACCTGTAATACTAGACATCCTACCCAAATCATACGTGGCCGCAATCCGATGCATCGACTCCAAACATATTATACTAAATCCAAATTCAGGGCGCGCATTCTATCCTGAAAGGACGCGACGCGTCGTACTGATCTCCAGCCGTCCCACGACGGCGAATCCACTTTTCGCATATCCTATTTTTTGAAGGCGTATGCCGCGAGAGTCGAATTCGATTCTCGAGTTTGCGGCGCCGAGAAGAGCCGCGCGGATAGAAAACCGGACAGAACGGAATAGCTCACCTTGTGCGCCATGGCAGCATCTTCCTGCTTGGTCCTTGCCAGGCTGTCGCGTATGTAGTCCCTGGGTGCAGCCGTGGGGTAGCCGTAATTTTCGGTAAACACTTCCGCCGGCGGTTTGTAATCCCGATATCCGGTTGGAGATGGGGTTGTGGTCAGAGTTGGCTCCGTGGTCCCCGGCGTTAGGCCGGAGAACATCGCGTCGCCCGACGAGCCGTTTTCCTCGACCTCGAACACGTCGTCGCTCATGGCGTCCTCGCTGGTCATGATCTGTGCAACGGCAGAGAACGAAGATAAGTGTAACGACGAGGATGAGCCTCGAAGGCGAGGAAAATTGAAATAGAACGTTTCAACGAGCAAGGGTCAATTAGAAGTTTCATTCATCCTTCAACCGACGTGGAACCAACGAGACCTAAACGCGGCCAATGTTTATTGTTATATAACAACGACACAATATCGGGTTCGTTTACAAACAATTGAAAAGAAATGCCGCTTTGACGCGAACGCGCGTACAGCGTCGCCGCAACGCAGACATCCGAGTGCAAAGGGTTAACAATTTGACGGTAACATAAATCGCATAAATATAATCTGAGTTCCGTCTACGATATCCCGTCAATCTCCATTGTACCGCAAACTTAGTTCCAACAACTTCCTCTAGGAAATAATTGTCTTAATTAATCGACGTTTCGAGCTCCGTCGGCGGTCGGTTGATCGTTTTATTTTTTAATTGAAATCCATTTTTCACGCGGCGCTGAAAGCCTCGCCGGACGAAAGAGAGGGAGAGAGAGAGGGAGAGAGAGAGAGAGAGAGAGAGAGAAAGAGAGAGAGAGAGAGAGAGAGAGAGAGAAAGAGACTTCGGTATTCTAAATTAAGTTTGATCCAACGGTTAATCCCCGGGTTTATCCGCATTCTAATTTTCTAGCAGCGAGTTTCAGATATCCCGTACCTTTCATATCCGATCTGATAAGAGGCTTAATCTAAGAGCGGATTTAGCGACAACGCCTGGCGCAAAATCGTCAAAGCATCCGCTCTACGGAATATTAATCAACTTTACCGTAATTGCCGCTTGAGTGGCGGCGCCCGGATTTGTTTCGGCCAGAAATAACACGACCGGGGAATTTTTCGGCTCGATTTCTACCGCATCACCCGTTAAATAACCGACGGCCAAGCGATCCGTGCCGGCACGGAGATCATTTTCGAACCGAGATAATTCCGTCCACGACTCGCGACAACTGTCCGAAGGGTCGCATGCGCGACCATAATCGCGACGGAGTTAATCGGACGCGTCTTCGCGCAGCAGCACGGTTTAACAGTCGCACGATCCGATCCCGCGGCAAGATCGGCAATTTGCTGCGGATGAGGAGGACGATCGTTCGTGGAGAATCGATTCCCGGATCGGGCTACGTAGTACGCCGTCCGGTTAATATTTTATTATAATCTCAAGGACAGACGTGTGGGGAAGAGACGCGCGGAGCCCGGGGGAGACAGCGTCGGCCGCGGTGAAGAAATGCTCGAGGTATACGCCCGGCCGCGATAATTCTCGGCAAAACGAGGGCCGGCTGTCGCATTATCAAAGCTACCGAGAAAACCAGTTCGCAGAAGCACGCCACTCGTCCGGCCGCGAACGCTGGAATAACTGTCCTTCGATCGGCCGACATCTCCATCGGTACGGGCCGCAACGCCGCGCCGCGCGGCCTTGTAGCAGTTAATGCCAATTAGTAAGGCGTTCTGACTCCGACGCGCCACTAATTCCCTCCCGCGAAACCGTGAACAATCGTCCACGGTAATAACCGCCTGGCCCCGAGCTGCCTTCTAGCCGCGGGAAATAGAATACGCACCTGGCCCATCGCGGACCCCGATCGGCGCGTCCTGCACGGGGCCCCATGGAAATCGCCGACGCGGATTTCGTCGGCGACGATTCGTCGACCACTTCGACCGGCAACGATTCATCGACGATAATTTCGACCGGCAACGATTCGTCGACGATAATTTCGACCGGCAACGATTCGTCGACGATAATTTCGACCGGTAACGATTCATCGACTATGACTTTGACCGGCAACGATTCATCGACGATAATTTCGACCGGTAACGATTCATCGACTATGACTTTGACCGGCAACGATTCATCGACGGCAATTTCGACCGGCAACAATTCATCGACGACAATTCCGATCGGCAACGATTCATCTACGACGACTTCGACCGGCAACAATTCATCGACGACAATTCCGATCAGCAACGATTCATCTACGACGACTTCGACCGGCAACGATTCGTCGACTATGACTTTGACCGGCAACGATCCGTCGACGACAATTTCGACCGGCAACGATTCGTCGACGACGACTTCGACCGGCAACGATCCGTCGACGACAATTTCGACCGGCAACGATTCGTCGACGACGACTTCGACCGGCAACGATCCGTCGACGACGACTTCGACCGGCAACGGTTCGTCGACGACAATTTTGGCCAACGACAGACTTCACTGACCGGACATCACTTGGCAACGTCGATGCCAGTCTTGATCGACGATAATAGCGATAGTAGATTCATTCAGCCGGTCGGCCATGGAATGGACTTCGTCGCATTGTTCTCTAACTCATTCATTCTGCAGCTTTTTCATTGACACTGTCCTCTCATTCTTCGCAGCCTGGAGTCAAACCTAATCTATTCTTTTGGTTTAGCGAAATGTTAATCTGCTAGCTGATTTTGAGGAGTACACTCGTTGTAAAACGTTGCCGTTTCTTCGAGTATACTCGTCGAAAACAGACGCTTTGATATTCTATATTCAATTATGTATTATATGAAAGTGATGGATTTAAACGAAACGTAAAGAGAATGAAATATGTGGTATAATTATAAGTAACTTTTCAGAGGGATTGCAACGACTAATTGAATAAAAGTTGACAATAGTACTAATAATGATGAATGGACAAAGCTGAAAAACGGACCGCGAATTTTGCTTGAGCACGATGTCGTCGGTCATAGTTAACGTCAGCGACGTCTCCGTTGGAACTACCTGAAGATGCTCGTGATCGATGGAACGCACGTGCAAACAAGGAAACGCGTTTTTCGACTAATATCTGTCAGGTAAGCAGACGTTGAAATCACGGTAAATCGAACCACCTGAAATGTGTTTATGTCCTTTTTCGGGTTCATGAAGACTGTTGTGTTAAGGATCGAAAAATGCAGCACAATATTTTGTCTTTATTTTAATACGACATTTTTTATTTCGCAGTGCCTCTAAAAATTATCGTACGACTATGAAACTCGACTCATTGTAAAGCTTGAAGTCTTTAGCTTCGCTATTCGTCGTCATTTCCTTCCGAGATCGCTGCATTTACATTGAATATAAAGATCGGAGCTTTACCTCCGTAATAGCTCCTTGGATGTACAATTCGTCTTGATCATTTTATTGAATTCTGAGGTAGAAGCCAAAGACGACTACGCCTTTCAATAAAGTACGAAGAGTACAAAGAGAGCTGTTGCATCGTCTTTGGAAACCTTCCGCGGCACCTTCGACGACAACGTGCCAGAGCATTACGCTCCCAGCGCCGATAAAAAGAAGTTCGCGGGAACGTGTAACTTATTTCAATACGTTTGCAAGTTAGAGAGTGATTCCTACGCCCCAATAGTTCGCGACAAAGCGGCCATTGAAGTCGCATAAATGGCCCGTGAACGTGGCCCGCCAGAAAGTCGGTTATTCGTAGGATTAAAAGTTGATTATCATATTCCGTCGGCCCTGTTTCACGGTTCCCCTCGGCCGATTTTCTATTTGCACCTGAATGGATGCAAATTTAAACCGTTCGTTTCTTCGAAAGAGAAGAGGAGGAGGAGGAGGAGGAAGGGTGGGAAGAAAGAAGCGTAGGAGGGAAGCAGACGTCGTTTTGAAACATTCATACGTGACTTGGAAAGCTTCCCCGGCGCGAAAGAGAGATTACATCGGATTTCTTCGGCACCACGCCGCGGCAACAATACTATCATAAATCATGCATGACTCTCGTCCTCGTCTTCGCAAACATATCGATCTTGCGACTGCATTTCAGCCGATATTCTGAGCGCCGAATAACACGCGCGGATACGAGCCTTCATCAGCGATTTTTGAATTTTCATCATCTTTCTTTTTCAGAATGACGATCAGACTCTTTGAAACTAACGCGTGTAACGTAAATGTTCATCCATCGTTTTCTTTTTTATGTACAATCCGTTGACGATTGTCGTTGCAGCAAAATTCACGGGTTTCTCGGCATTCGCTGATTGGACGATTTATTGGTAATCGTTATTCAAGACGATTATGACAAATACAGTGCTATAGAGACATTACAATAATTGAAGAATATTGTTACGTTATTTTTAACTTATTAAAATTATTAGAACAAGAAAGACGTTTTTAACCAACTTATATAACTAATATAGACAATCTTTACTTTGCATAAAGATGTGCAATCTATTAATTATAGTACTTTAATATTCTATAGTATTTTAATATTGGTAAACAGCGTAAAAATTTATGAAACACTTTGGATAGAAAAGTGATATAACTGTTATTTAGATCTCATTTTGGAGATACACGTGAATTAAATAACTAAATATAATTTTAAATAATTTTAAATAATTAAATTGAATTCAGATTAAGATAATTAAATCAAAATTTTAAATAATTTTAAATAAGTCGATTAAAATTTTTAAAAGACACGCAAGTGTACAAAATTCCATAGTTATTTGAACCGCATAAGTTTCGACACAGTTACAGCGGACGCGGGAAACTTGATTTTATCGACGAGGACCGCCGATTTAATTTCTTTTCCATCTGCCGATTAATCACGTCAATTTTTCCGAAAGAGCTTAAATTACAGGAAATGTCAATACCGCTCGGTAGCGTCCGGGCGATTTAAAAATGGCGGACGGGTCGAATCCTGCCGCATCGCCGAGCCTTCTCTTCAACCACCCGCCCCAGGGATTAAATAAAAGTAGAGGGACAAGTAATTAACCACCCCATTAATTAGAACGGGAAAACAATTTAAAAGTTCCCCAGCTCGGATTCATAACCGCCATTAAGCGTTATATGATCCCCGGCACGACGGGTTATGAATAGAAATTATAACCTGCAATTTAGCGGGCCGGGCTGCTGGCAAATAAAGAAGCACCATTCGGCGAGCGACGATTCGATTAGCAACCGTGAACTGCCATTGTCTCGAGCGGAACGGGTCCGAATTCTTCTCGAGACGCCGATCCAAGGAAAATCGAAGGGTCCTCCGTTGACA